GTGCACACGAGCCAGATGTATACTGGACCTCCTTATCCGAGAAGACTTGGTTCTACCAACCGAATGGGCAAGAAGTGGCTGGAACCAGCGCCGATGTTAATGCTGTAGCTAGCGGCGTCCCTGCCTTACCGCTCAGCCACTCGACTCGCCTAAAGGAAAGTGCATTTTCAGTTCTTAGCGATTCAGTGACTGAAAGCAAAATTGTTTATGCATATCACGGTAGTTTTGAGTTTAACCTAGCTGTAACTGGTTTAAATGCTTTAGAAAACGTAAATTGCGTTTTAATAATTTAATCAACTGTCGAAAAAAACCTTCTCATATCTACAATTGTCCTCTATCTTTCTATTTTCTGCATACCTTGAACACTCATTTACATGTGATTACCAATAACGTTCGTTCATTACCTTAAATGGTAATACATTGGTCTTAACTTATTAATATTGATTTGAGTTCTGTGTAAATACTCGTAGTTAATAATGGGATTTTTTGTTTGTTTTCTGTTTGTACTAAAGATGGGTTGAAGAGCAACACCCGAGACATGTTTACCATTAAATCCTAAGTTCCTTTCTTAAAATACGTTGTGTTTCTCATCCGTTTGGGTCCATTATTAAGGACTTTAGTTCGAAGGATCTGCATATTTGTTTACTCAGGAAGTACGAGAATTAGATATTCTGACGTTTCATCAAAGCTGAACTGGATTATAATTTCTTACATAATTGCAAACCTTTCGGCGTTTTTTCCGAAATTCATTCATTTTCTACTGGACTTTTCTTCTACAGGACGTTCGAGCATCATTTACGCAAACCATGGACATTCATTTTTGTGTTTATTCCCCCTCGGGGGGTAGACACTATGTCAGCATCTAGCATCTGTAACATTCTGTAAATCCGGTATGAAGGAATGATGGGATAAGTATATGAGCTAAAGATAAAAATGAATAAAGAAAGCACTAAAAAGCAAAAAGCCACTTCTCAGTACAACACCTGATAACAGAATCCCCACGTGGATACTGTATTAGTAAATATAATACCTGTATAGTAAGGCAGCCTAGAGCATAGACACACGCTGGGAGCCTATTTTTACTGTTTATACTCTCAGAGTACGGGACGTGGGGTGGGGGGGGGG